ACACAGTTAAGTGGACAGCATGTATGCTCCAAAAGCAGAAAGTAGATTGATTGATGTAGATAGATGTGTGTTCGTGTCATCGTCCAGTGCCCCTGAATCTATACGGCGGGAGCCGCAGCTTAGCAAGATTACGTACAACATGTCTTTGCTTATCACGGGAGGGTATGTCCCGACATCTAGATTCCTAGGAACTTAAAACGTAAGTAGAACTTATGATCACGTCCTAGAGTTAAGTGGTGTCAATTTCACTGAGGGTTACTGTATATATTTAAACCTACTCTCAGCAAAGTAATCGCCTTCCGCCTGATCATATCACCAGGGACGTGAACTACTTCTGTCTACTGTTCAATATCCACTTTATCACGTGAATAATCTGAAATGGTCTTGTGTGACTCTATGGCTATCCCTGAGTCAGGGACGTTCGCCAATCCCTTATTGATCGAAGATAAGTCCGCTCTGCCAGACTCGGCTTCTAATTTCAACATGATCCAGGTTAAGGAGGATTGGCTTCGCGATGAGCCAGACCATCTTGATTCCGATGCCGACACTAAGATAATGACTACACCAAATTTTATGGATCTTTAACTGCATGGGCTCGCACTACACTGCCCGAGAGGTTTCACCACGACGGCGGTTTTCAGATTTTGGAGGGTCGCCCTGTGTCAATGTATGTCTGCTTGTTTAATCCTGATAGCTCAGAACTAATATGTCAGCAGGCTGGAAAGGTAGATCGCAATACTTTACGCCAGAGAAGTATAATCGAGCTTCGGCTTATCGGGGCTTAAAATCTGCTAGCATAAGTAGAGAATCATCACTGGCAGTGATAGCTATAGTGGCATAACAAAAATTTAGTACCCCTCTACATCTCTGCTTTCAGGGCCAGGTTCAATTTATCCATCTTTCCAACGATCAAAATCTTTATTTATCCCATCTACCTAGTAACTTATACCTTATCTATTATTATCAATGATCCCTTGTACCCTATAGTTAGAGTATAATGCAGGCTACACTTTCCAATACCTATAGATATACATATGCCTGAAGAAAAGCGATGTTTATATACATTATATTAAATATGGGTGCATTGTTTATACTAGTTATATCGTATCGGGGGGGGTTTTGGAAGGTGAGCTAAACCCAACCTTGGAATAAAAAGGCGGAGAAATAGTGCGCAACCACTGTAACTCTAGCCTATATACGGCTTCCGTACAGAGGAGCGATCGAAGTTGGTGGTAGACGAATCATGGCGGAACAATCAATGGTTTGTACTATGTGAAGTCATAGGTCTTTCGAGGTGGCGGTTGATTGGAGGAATCTGAATTCCCGAAGGGGCGAAGATTGCTCCTTCTCCAGATCCCTTGCATCTCATGGAGTGCTATGATGCCTTAGCCTCTCGTATCATTTTCTTTTTTATTTCTCAGCGAGCCTCGACAGTGAATATCTAGACTTATGTGTGGCAGAGGCTTGTTTAGAACTCTGTTGCTTACTTTTCTCGCCGCAATTTATTCCCGTGGATGAATCGCTCAATGTTATATCACCAATCTCTCCAGAACCTACCGTATATTTAGAAGATATATTTCCTACAAAGCGGAAGTACGCTTTATTTGGTTTTAATATGGCCCAAGGTCGGCTAAAGGGGCGTGAATTCCTCTAACGCTCTGGAAACACACTTCACTAAATCATCCTCCGATTCCAACCCAACACTAAACCTCACAATATGCTTGGGAATCCCCTGTGACTCAGCCCAATCGAGGTCAAAGACATGAGCGAGCTGTGCATATGGAAGGGCCAAACTAAAATTCGTGCCAATGCTTGGCCCCTTTCTCATATCTAACTTGTCATAAAACCTTACCGCATCGTACGGTTCCCGGAACAGGATACTCAGAACATACCCATATCCGCCGTTCCTGCGACGATAGAGCTCATAGAGTTGCCCGGTAGGCACCAAGGGAGGGTAAAGCACCGACTCAACTCTCGGGTGTAATGAGAGGAAAGTAGCCAGGGTAAGGGCATTGGCGCTACACCTGCCCACGCGTTTTTGGAAGTCTCGGGAGTTCTGGGCGAGGACAAGCGCCTCGGTTGGGAAGAGGAGGTCTTCGTATATAGCTGTAAGTCTAGCGTGGACTTCGCTGTAGTAGCGGCTCTGCGGGTTGACGACGGCACTCCTCCCCATAGCGTTGGCGGCGCCATTGAATACCTTAGTTAGGCTCGTGATAGCCACATCCACGTACGGTAGTATATCCACATTAACAAATGTTCCAAGCGTTTCATCGCAGACAACAATAAAGTCGTACTGATCTGCGAGGTTCCGGATCCGCTGAAGATCAGGAGTTCGAAGGAGGGGATTCGACGGAACTTCGCAGAACAAGACACGGATGCGTGATCCCAACGTGAGTGAGGCTTCTAGCTGATTCAACTCCTCTGTTGTCCCCTGACTGTAGAGTGTGAAGCGTTCATAGCCAGATTGGCCTACACATTTGGGGGTTTCGGCGTAGGGCCACCTAAACGAAGAATAAGTTTTGTCTTGTCACGGATTGAATCTAAAATTTGTTTTATGTGCTCACCCGAATACCACCGCTCCTGAAGCGCCTTTGTCCTTTGGGATCAGCGCCCGTGCCACGGCAGAAATAGCGCACATCCCCTTTGCGTAAAGGAATACATCTTTTGCAGACGGTGGAGGGAGCTCAGAATTATCAGACGCTATCAATTCCGCAATCCTGTTCCTAATCTCTATTTTCGCGGCTTGCTCTCCATCCGACAATTCGAGCATCGGGATGGCTATCTTGGCAGTGCAGGTGAGAGTGCCAGCGTGTGTGCCTGTTCCTGTGGCAGGAGCACAGAACCGCAGTAATTCATTTTGAGACTCGGAGGACATATACGGCCATAGCTGAAGATAAAACTCGGCATGCCGACCGGAAATTCCGTCACCAAAGATAGACCAGAAGTGGCCTGCTGCCGCCCTGGCATCAGCATCGTATATCACCGAGTAGAATCGGTCCCAATGTGTGGTTGTCGGGCCACTAGCCCCGTGGGATAGGTAGAGGCATACCATGTCAGCTCGAATATCCGAGTTATAGTGGTTCTGGAGATACACCATACATCGACTTGCTGCCTCCTTGGAGGTGAACACAAGGCAATGCATCTGTTCTTCTGGAACCGCGCACCGCTGCAGCACCGCGCTGGCTAACTGTTGCACGATACCGCTAACACCGAACCTGAATCAGTTAGCTAGGATTTCGAGTTCTGTAAAGTGATATGTGCGATTACCTTGGATAATTCGCCTCCATTTTTTCAATCACCCATTGATAGCCAAGGGGTCGGCCGGGTACCGAGTCCCATGTTGGCAAGGACACACTAACTGCCTGATCATGTCTGCCGTTAGTATGGGTAGTACGTACACTGAAGGAAAATAATAGAGTCTAGACACACATATTTGTCGCCAGGAGGTTGACTCGTTCCGAGAGGAAGCATCCTTGGCGGAGATATAGCACGCACAGGCACAGGCGCAGGCACAGTCATGGTGTCGTAGTTGCAGAACTATAATGAAGCCCGCTCCTTGAATAATCTCTGATAACCAACCGGGAATTGACGCAACTTTTATATTTATGTCAGACAATTATGGTTTTTGGTGTCTGAAACCTGGACGCTTTGCAGGTTGAACTTCGTACAAGTGGCGGTCAGACTTAGTGATCCAGAATGCAGGACATTTCCCAATGACCTATGTCCTCATGCAGAAGCTTTCCGGACTACCGGACTTAGAATTTTCTCCTTTTGCCGCTTTAGAACGTGGCGGCGTCTGTCAAAGTCTGACCGAGATGACTCTGACCGTGAACGGAATATAATTAATCTGGGAAAGGCCTTTGGAGCCCCGGCTCCATCAATACCTCAATACTTTCAAAGCAATCACGTACGAAGTACGTACTGCGATTAGGATCGTCCGTCTTCTAAAATATTCTGAATGGACTCGGTGAAGACATTGGTTGTAAACTCAACTGCAGTTGCAGAAATTAAAAGCTAGGTCATCACGGCCATGCAAAGAAGTGGTAATTTGTGATAACGGAAGATCGCCGGTGAAGACCAGCTCCAAGTAAGCCATAGCACCAATAAAGGTATGTCGAGACATATAGTGTTACTCACGACAGAGTTTATACTGAGTGACCCACTTTCCTTTGTGTTTGTATAGTAATTTGGTATTCCCGGCATTACGGCTGTCGTAACGCCGCGTGCCTATCCATCCAGAGGGTATTTCGACCTCCCCTATGATATTCGTTCTTTCTTGAATCAATCAACCTTTGCATCCAAGATGGGTTCCGCTTGGTCCTATCCACGATCCCACTCGCCTATTAGGATTACTAGCTATTACTGTCTGAGCTTGCTCGGACAAGTTCTTTGCAATTACGGTATAGTGTACCGCCTCTGGCCGCACATTTGCAAAAAAATTGTCGCCACACTAGTGTAATTAATACGTAGTGAAACAAGCCTAACACCAGATCGCCCCTGGATAGCTCAAAATGGAATTATATTACAATACACTAAAGCCGGAAGGGGGCATTACAAGTAGCTCTAAGAGGTATGTATCAAGCTGCGGCAGGATGCGCTAGTAATTCTCTCGGACAAATAGACAGCCAGAGCAAGGTCAAGTGGACCCACTCTTGGATGTGAAGCTCAGCTGATTCCTGTTGTGTTACGGGACATCCTGAAATACCCCAGAGATGCCATTGCTCGGATCTGCGTTATGGACAACCGTCTCTCACTCTCCATATTCAATTCCCATATCAGATCTCTTACGATTCAGCATGAACAAATTTCCGAACGATCCTATATTTGTCAGTTTGCTCCAGCTAAGGCAGTCAGTTCAAGGAGTTTTAACCCACGACGAGTATGGCGTTGATGTGGGGCCCAACGAACTACTCGATAATATTTGTCGTCTGCGCAAAACACTGTGACGAGAACTCCCCGCTGCCTGGTTCGATGCCAGAGGCCTCCTTCGGCCTGACACTGGTCGTATAGCGTCTATCTCAGTAAGCGGATATTACTTTCTGGTTAGATTCTTTGCGATTGCCACGCTAGGAGGGACATGTGTATCGTTGCGTGAGTCCATCTCTCAACAGTGTGAAAGATCCAAAATAACTGAGGGATATCACTAATCTGCCTATTTACATATTGTACTTTATGTAGCAACTAACGCCACACCACACGAGACTCTCAAGCTCTTGACCATGTCCGATGTGGCATATATTCTGACCGAGCCCAACGCCGTTGAACGTGTTTCTCTGATCAAAGAATATGCAAATCATATCAAGACAATCCAGGTCGAGCAGGGAGCAAGATGCGAGTTCGCGTCCGATTGGTGTATTAGTATGCCTGCTACTAGGGTGCAGATCAAGCTATCAAATCGGGATAAGGGAGAGTTGCTTGTCAAGTCTCCTCGAATGTTCACGCAGTAGGACTTTCGCATTGATACTTATCTCATATATGCTGATATTCGGCAGCTATCTCAACGATGAAACAGCAAACAAGGATGCATTCGACGAGGAGGGATTCTACAAAACGGGCGACCTTGTGCGACGTGTCGGGGCCAGTTACTTTTTGAAGGGAGGGGAGACTTTGACTGTACGAACCCTCCTGCTGAAGCCTGTAGGGGTCGTTTTGAAACCTAACTGAAAACCACACTGGGATCAACTTTCTTAATCGCAAAATCTCTGTCCTAGAGCTAGAACAACATCTCTTGTGTCTTTATTACATATCCGAGGCGTACATCCTTCCTGTACTTGACCGCGAGTTAAGGGGACTTGCTGCAGCACTTGTCCGTCTCAATTGTCGAAACTCGGACGTCGATCTGCGAAGAATCCGCGATGACCTTTCTCTAAGTTTGGAGCTTTAGAAACTACCTGTCCTTCTATACATATTGAAAGACGGAGAAGAGGTACCCAGAACGGCCTTAGATAAAGTGATCAAGGCGCAGGCATTGGACAAGTTCTTTCGCATCCGGGGGTATCGGCCTCGTGAATATTCTGTGAATGGGGTTGAGTCAATATCTCCGGCCTGGTAAAGGGTCATGGATTAGCAGGCAAGGTGCCAATATCACACTCTTCATTTAACACATAAGGAGGAGGTTGAGCTGAATCGCATCATCGATACTTTCGCTCTGGAACATTTCCTGCTGGTAAAGCGGGTTGAAAGGGATGCTCTGGCACGGAAAGATCCTGAAGAGGTGCGGATGGTGTACTGAGCTGTTTTCAATGGAGATGATTATTTATATACAATGGTCCGGTGATTGAGATATAGCAGACATAATATGAGTGTACCGGGTACCTGCCTATTGGTGGTAAAATGTGTAGAGACCCATACGATCCCTAAGTGGCCAGTACTTCCCGGGGTACCCCAAGGATCATGCATATTTTGGCTAGATGGTGTAGATGGATAAATTCGAGGCTTGTTTGGTTCCCTGTATAACATCATTCCTTCTGCTCAATGGTCCGCCAGAGATGCCCATAACAATAAACCACCCACAACAACCCCGAAAAAAGCAGATACACTCCAGCCATAATGGTTGCTGTCCAGCCGATGCCAACAGTCTTGACCAACGGGAGGATGCCCGCTACCGCGCCTGCCGCGCATAGAAACCGGACCAAATTTGCAGCTGCCAGCACAACCGCAGGCCGCTTTCCATGGGTTGCCAGCAGCAGCCCTGTGATTCCGATATTGACCCCCGTGATAGCATTGCCAGCGAAACAAAGCATGACTAATGGACCGGCGGGATGGACGTTACGCTTCATCAACCACCCATACACTGCCATCCAGATACAGGCCATATAAACAAAAGGGAGGATGACTTGCAGACAAGCGCGCTCTAAGGGGAGTTCTTGGGGACTCCGATCCATGGCCTCGACGCCGATGCGACGACGGTATCGCCGCTTATTTTTCGTAGTGAGAGGAGCAACGATCCAGCGCGCGGCAAATCCTCCTACGGCGTAGGGCACGTAGGTAAGTCCGACTTGCCATAGTTGAAAACCATATTGGTCCTCGAAGAGGACCGGAATGCTGACAAAGATGGCCATATTTCCGCAAAATAGCACGGCTGAAAATATGGAGAGCAAGCATGTCGACCTGTGACTGAGGAGTCGAATTGTGTCGAGGACTCCGGGTGTGCGCCCGGGTGTGCGCCCGGGTGTGCGTGGCCATGGGGTATCTTGACGGTATTCGAGCGGATGGAGGAAGTCTATTAGCGCTCGATTCCAGCGCTGAGGCGGTACTTCTCCGTTGTGCACTACGGCGCGACATGACTCGCGCAGGAACACCAGGATGAATAATATTGTGACAGCCGCAAATATAGCCAGAAACCAGAACACATATCTCCAACCGAGAAACTGCGCTAGGAGACCCCCCGTGACGGGGCCGACAAGATGAGACAAGGTGTAGCCTGAGGAGGTATAGAGGCGGTATTTGCTGCGTTCTGCACGGGTGAGTATATCCGATAAGTATGCGATGCCCACGACTGACAAGCTGCTGCTACCGAAGCTCTGCAGGCAACGCAGTGCCATCAGCCCACCATAGCTAGTTTGCAAGGCGAGACCGATGTTTGCACTTAGATATACTGCCAAGCAAACAATGAAAACGGGCCGACGTCCACGTTGATCCGAAAAGCTCGCTGTTAGCAGAGGGAAGAGAGCTTGCGTGATCTTGAAGAGTATGAATGAGCTGACTTTGTCTGTGGGACGAACAGTGTGTTCCATACCATATATACAGTGATTGTCAAGCTTATTTGACTGGGAAAGACATGTAGTTCTCGCGACAGAGTGCCGAGAATAGGAAAATACATGCTTGTTGAAGCTGGCCCCAGGAAGGTCATGGTGGTGATGATAAGGATGGACAGGATTTTTTCGGGCCCCGAGAGGATGGATAGGGACTGATGTTGCCGACATGGTAGTCCCTCCATCTCTTGATCTTCAACTTTATGGACATTGGCAGATCGTTCCTGGCTAGTATCGTCATTGAGAAGCTTGGATTCATTGGGGTTACAGCTGGCCATAGCCATGGCTTGGGATTGCCAAAAGACTCCCCTCGCTTTTTCTTTAGCAAAAGAAGGATGTTTGAAAAAGGTTCGCCTTGCCCCGGACGTCTCACGAGATGACTACAAGAATCCGTCCTTCACTGCAAGTTCCTGATACACGGATGATCGACACTTGGGCATCTTTGCGCAGGGGGTCACCCCTTAATAGCACATCACGCACATTGAAGAGTGAATATTTGGCTCATAAACTTTTCCAAACCAAGAATCGGACAGCTATAGACAACCATTCTAGAAACCAATAAAGCAGAAGACATGATCAGCCAGTGCACCCAATAACACTGGCCTGGACACAAAATTGCCGATCTTTCTCACTAGCGCCTATCTATGGATATATTCCAGGTAGCGTCTGAATCTTACCTCACTCCAGCGCAAATAAGACATCCTGTTAAATACGGTTAAATTTTCAAATTTACAGTAGCTCGGTGCTACATATTGGGAATGGATGTAGAGATATATATCATTACGAACCAGGTCGAGAAATATACTAGAATCCGACACGCCGGCGGGGGCAAAATCACAGAAGGCGTGCTTACTACGGATCGAGCCTAAGTATATTAAGTAGTCCCCCTAGGCAGCTCCTATCGTATCTCACCCTTCGTGATACCGTCGATGCTGCTGTCGCTGCCCCCCCTAACTCGTCCGAAGACCTTATCCCGGCGGGTCCATGGGGGTCCGCGGGCGACGCCGCGGGTCTCCCCCGCGTGATGACTTCCGCCGGGTCGAACGCGACGAGACGAACGCAACGATGCCGGTCCTACGGGACGCGGGCGGGGGCCGCAGGAGCCAGCGTATAGGCTCGCTATGTACGCGAACGAAATTAGCACAGTACGGACTAATTTGAGCTGCATCGTTGGCGGCCTCGGCGGCTCTGGCGAACTGTCGTCGCCGTTGATGCCGCCGTTGAATCGTGCGAGCCTCGCGCCTCTGCTCCTCGGATGGGTAATTTCGTGGTCGGCCGCGCTTTCGAATATTGGGACCTGTGGCTAGTAATGTCATGTTAAAATTGGCTCCCCAGAGGTCGATGGCGCATGGGGGTGAGAAACACAGGGCTCACCCTCGCAAAAAATGATCCACAGGGCGGATGGAAATAGGAGCTGCAGTGAATAGTTCGGCTAGCACTGATTAAGGATACTAAGTTTGATTGGGTAACGCGAGGTCAGAAAACAATATTTGATCAAACACAGCTAGACTAGTAACCAAAAGAGTTTTCATTTATCACTATTCCAAAAGGGGTTTAGCTGTCGCCGAAAATAATAACTTCGAACAGTCAACACATTAGATTCGTTCTTTTGGCTCACCCAGAGATGTTGGAAAAGTTTCAACCACCGATTCCGACTCGGCGGTTCTTCTTTGACCTCTGTACATGAGGTCAATTTCCTGCGGCCCATGGGTGGCTCTAGTTCTAGTCGTGGATTTTCACTTAGATGTGTGGATTTGGGTGGGTGCGTCATAAACAGATTGAGCTACTTGTTGATAACTCACTTGTCTCATTTACTTCTGATTTTCCCTGCCCAATTAGTACCTTATAAGCCTTGAGGTCTGCTGTCCCTTACAGGAGTACTGTTGCGGTGAATACATGTAACCCCTCTGACCTTGCCTGGCTCCACCTACGTTAAATCTTGGAAGTTATAGCTGTATTTAAAACAGTATTATACCGTATTTCCGTGACACGTAGCACCTGCAGAATTGTAGGGACTTTGGAAGGATATTGTGTATTAATGTAGTTAGTTTGGTGAGGTAAGTGGCCGCAAAATGCAGGCTAGAGGGTTAGCTCCAACCTTGGTGACATGTTGCCGTAGTTTTATGGACAACGGCTTGTTCAATTGTTAAAGCCACCAGTTCACTCGTTTTTCCGGGAGTCAATACGGAGTAAAAATTCCTCAATACGACCTCGGGAAGATACATGGAGGTACCGTATTCTGTATATGCAAGATCTCGCAGTGGTACTATGGATCTTGCATCCTAGTCTGCAACTAAATTGCGCTTGGGCACACTTGCCTTACATAGCTGCGTGATCAAAGCCAATGAGCTTACGAGTCCTAAATCACTTTAGGATGGAAGCTTGGAAATGGCCTTCTTCATATTACAGTACCTATTACGGAGTACTTATAAATATTTATGGATGGACGCGGGTACCCTTCCTACTAGCAGCGATCTGCCTGTCCAGCACCTTTAGAGGACAAATAATTGATGACAAGATGACAAGAGTATACGCAGATTCTGTGGTGAACGTGGTCAATGTGAAAGCCAGTAACAATACAGGTTCCCAAATCAATTTCCCAAGCGACCCATTTTTCACCAAATTGCTCGCTAGAGCTAACCGACTTGGAAATTTGACTATCATCAACGATAATACCATTTCAGCACAGGTTAGCTACCTTCGACTTCTACAGGACGTGAACAATCTACGCCAATCACTCCGGCGCCGACTCCCACCTGGTTTGCTGGATAACAATGGGACGTTAAGCCCAGCGGACAATGGAACCTGTATTGCTGTTATCGCACGCAGCGGGTATAGATTCCTCGTGGCTTGTATCGCTATTTTCACCCTGGGAGGCATCATCTTACCGTTGAGTGAGCCGGTCCTTCCCGTCATTACAACTGATATGTTATGCTGAACCTAATAAATAGGCCCGGGTTATCTTGCAGAAGAGGCGCTCTATTTCTTGCAAAAATGCAAAGCAGTTGCGATTGTATTTGATCCTGATCCAGCCGTCTCGGAGCTAGCACACAGCATCGTCAACGCACAGTCGGATAATTCAGAGCATGAGCCGCTCCTGCAGATCCCGGTCACAATGGACCCGAGCTTGCCTTTGAAGCAGAGCCTTAGCTTTGCCACTGTTCCCTCCGTTGACCCGGCAGCGATTTCCCCTGATCGTCCTGCTCTCTATTTGTTAACCTCCGGAACCACAGGAACTCCTAAGGTCGTGGTGCACACGCGCAGGATTTTCTATGCACAACCGGAGCCGGATTACGATGCGGAGGACGTGTTTCTCTCGCAGCGCGCATTTTTCTGGATTGGCGGATTTCGAGAACTGATTGGTATGCTGCTGAAGGGTGTGCGTGTTGAGATCATTGATTACAAGTCGAACGCGGATACGGTTTGGAACCGTATAAGCAGGGGAGATATCACCCGTCTGTCTGTTGTTCCCGGTCTCTTCAGTAATATGGTAAAGGTTTGGGAAGAGAAGATAGCCTTGTTGCCTGACCATGAGAGGAGGCCGTATGCAGACGCGGCTCGTAGGCTGCGCGGGGTGAAGTGTACGGGTGGGCTGGTTCCGGGCTCTGTTAAGAGATTTTGGAAGAATCTACTTCCAGACGTGAGGTTTGAGGTCGAATATGGGGCAAGTGAGTTTGGTATGGCTGCATTCAGTTGTTGTATTAAGGGCGAAGATACCATCCAGGTAGGTCGACTAGCAAGTTAGAGTCCGAGTATTATGCCGCTAATACATTATAATATAGTCACATTATCTTGGAAGACCGCTTCCAGGGGTTGCATTCAAGTTGGGAGATGATCAATCTGACAGAGGCGAACTGCTGCTCAAGACCCCTACTCAATTTACTATGTAAGCATGTTCAATCCACAGTGGGAGAGGCGGTAGTTAATAGAGGCTTCCTCTAGGTACCTGAATAGTCCAGAGGTGACCAATGCCAATATTGACGATACCGGATTTTTCCGAACAGGGGACCTTGCCAGACGGGCGGCAGATGGTCGTATTATCATTGAGGGACGAGTCAAGCCAGACTGTCAGTGCCTGTGGAAAATTGCCAAAGTTCCTTCGCTAACCGTGCTGAAGTTATCCGCTACCGTGGACTAAGGGTCCCTATCCTTGAGGTGGAGGAAAGCCTTCTAGCCCTTCCTTGTATCTCCGAAGCCTACGTGGTTCCTATCCTGGACGTTTTTGCTGGAGGATCGCGGGTGGCTGCAGTCGTCCGTCTCCGCAGGGATCCTCTCACCAATAACACGGCGGAGTCGAGTTTATCGCTACACACATTGAGAACAGAGCTTTCGTCGTCTTTGCCTGACTTCAAACTTCCAACTCTTCTCCGGATTTTGACTGATGGTGAAGACGTTCCCAGATCACAAGCTGGCAAACCGGCGCCGAGGGATATTGCCACTACATTCTTCCCGCAGCCAGATGAGGGCTCACTGAAGGGACTCCCTTATGACGTTCAATTTTGCAACACAGCTACTAGGGATGGTCCAGTGGCTTGGAGCTGGGGGCCGATGCGATGCTAATCAATCATTCAATATATTAAAGTATATATATTGTTGGTTAAATAGGTACAAACACAAGGCAGCCTTGGAGCTAAACCATCGCCATACTCACAGCAGCCTCACAATGCACAACCGCCGTATCTATTAGTAGTACAGGGCTCTCTTCTTCCTTGAGCAGAATTCCAAACTCCGTACATCCAAGAATAACAGCCTCAGCTCCTTCCTCTGCCAACCGACTAATAACCTCCTTGAATCGGACTCGTGTCTCTGGCAGGAAAAGGCCTTGCACAAATTCATTCCTCAACGCGTCATGAATCGTCCTCTGGTCGTCCTTGCTCGGCGGCACAACTTCAACCTGGTGGTCTGCAAGCCGCCCGGCAAAATACTCGTCTGTCATAGTGAGAGGACTGCCAATAAGCCCGACTCTTTTTAGACCTAGTTGGAGAATCCTCTCTAACGATGCGTCAACAATGTGCAGTATCGGCAAGGCTATTTTGTTTTCACTGAGTGGCAAAGCTCTGTGGACCGTGTTGCAAGCAATGACGATGAAATCCGCTCCGCTGCTCTCCAAATGCTTGGCCAGTGCAAGGAGTTTTTTGCCAAGCAACTCCCATTCCTTTGTGCGTATCCAGTGCAAGATTTCTTTGAAATCTGCTTGCACGAGGATGAGCTCCGCACAGTGCTCAGGGCCTAGTTTAGATGAGACCAGACGGTTGATGGTTGAGTAGTAGGTGATTGTGCTTGGCCAGGCGAGTCCGCCAATAATTCCGATTGTTTTCATTTCTGGCTAAAAGTGTTTTATCAAGGTAAAATGGGATCGGGTGTGCAAATGTTTGTAAGTTTTAGAATGTCCGTCCGTAGCCCAGTCTACTTACAGTGCAGTTTAAGACTAAATACTCCTGCGAAGTGATATAAGATACCTACTCCGTACGGAAAGGTCCACGTACATACATACCTTGGATTATACAGTTCTGTACATAATTACCAATCCCTAGGTGCTTTCATTGGCGCTGTGGCTTCCTCCTTGCCGCCTTGCTTGGAATGAGAATGCCAAGAATGGCTGATCATTCCTCACCGATCTTTCATTATCACGATTGCCGAACACGCCCTTGCGAGGGGGTTGGGGTTCGGCTACACGTGTGAGGATGTGATTGGCCTTGCGTACGGGGGCTGTTCGGCCGTGTTGTACCCTCGCCCATGCATAGCTCCGGGGCCGTGACCAACCTGCAGTAAGCTTTACTTTCTCAACTATAGTGGGGTAGCAGACGAACGGGCCACATCCCAATTACATTGAAGCGATCGAGTTATAGTAGATACTTTCCAGATCAATTATCTTCCGTCCCAGTCCATTACGGCCGTACATCAGTACCAATAGCGGCAAAAGAACCTCAAAATAACTTGATATTTATAAACTAGTATCATTAGTCTTTGAGCAGCTAAAATAATTTATTTTAGATGTTAAGATCCACTCTGGAGTATGTCGGGATGGCATTATACACGGCGATAGGATTAAAAACAATAGTATGTTGCAGTACAAATGCCAGTGGAGAGTTTGTCAGTCTGTAGGGCGGTGAGCCTTAACTTATACATGTATTCTTGTACGGAGCCTTTGCAAGAATCCGAAGCGATATAGGAGAAACATTAAGCCCGGTAGATCTCTTCTGCCCAAGGACGTTATTCACCTGGAAAGTTCCTGCGTCGAAAACAGAGATCAAGGACCGAATTGCGGAATCAATTGTGCCTAATAACCCTGAGCTCACTCCCCCATCTGCAAGAGATGAATTTCTTTACGCAAGCGGGATGTCCGCTATTTCTGCCGTGGGACGGGCCTTGATTATAAAGAAAAACAAACGCTTCAGGAGCAGTGGTATTCGGGTAGGCACATAAAAAAGAGTTCAAGTTCAATCTGCGGCAAAGGAAAACTTATTCTGCGCTTAGATGGCCCTACGCTGAAACCCTAAAATGCGTGGGTAAATCTAGCTATGAACGCTTTACACTCTACAGTCAGGGGACAACAGATGAGCTGGATTAGCTAGAAGCAGCACCGAGAACTCACGAGATTTTTAAGAACGTGTCCGCAAATGTAGCGCTAATGCCCTTACCCTGGCTACTTTCCTCTCATCACATCCGAGTATCGAGTCCGTGCTTTACCCGTCCTTGATACCTACTAGGCAACTACGCAGTGTATGATCGCTACCGTCGCAGGAATAGCGGGTACGGGTATGTATTGAGTCTCCTGCTCCGGGAGCCGGACGATACGATAAGATTTTATGACAAGTTGGATATGCGCAAGGGGCCAAGTATTGGGACAAATTTTTAGTCTGGCCATTCCATATGCACGGCTCGCCCATGTCTTCGACCTAGATTGGGCTGAGTCCCAGGGGAGTCCAACGCATATTGTGAGACTTAGTGTTGGATTGGAATCGGAGGATGATTTAGAGAAGTGTGTTTCTAGAGCGTCGGAGGGTTTCGCAGCCCCTTAGCCCTCCTTGAGCCACTCTTTTCAATGTTGGGGCAAAAAATCAAATACAGTCCCGGGGTTCTTCCGCATGGAAGGAGGTAATAGATTCTAAATCTTAGATGAGTCCGACTTAAATAAGTTGCGGTGAAGAAAGAGAGCAACAGAGTTCTAGAAATCTCTATTTTGAGAAACATACTTAAGCCCAGAGATCCATTACCCACCTTGTCTCCTCTCTCTTTCGGTAACTGCGACTTCTCTTATCGACTGCTATCTCGGAGGAGCTCGGACTTCGTATCATACATATGATACGTTGAAACCAGGCTGGAGCCATTGACTGCTTTGTCATGATTCGTCTACCCCCTGAGCACCAACGTAAATCGCTCTTCTTGGTACGGATGTTGTATGCAGGCTGTAACTCTAGGCATATATATGTACATGATCGTAGTGTATACAGAGTATACATAGATCGATCGGCAATCTGGGTACGGAGTAAGCAGGGGGGACCCTTCCACAACGGAGTACATGTACAGTAGTGTACCCCCTTCTCTGGCCTGTGGGCATCTTGCATAAGATCGACACTTGATCTAGACTACTTTAGACCTTCGTGCATATTACATGTAATATATAGTCTTCTTGAAAAATACTTGTATACACATCCCAAAAAAGCTGTATAAAAACCTTGGAAACAGCTACCCGTCACTATCCACATTCACTGCTCAGATCTCTTACGGTTCGGCATGAACAAATTTCCAAACGATCCTATTTTCGTGAATCTGCTGCGTCTAAGGCAGTCAGTGCAAGGAGTCTTAATCCATGATGATTATGGCATTGACGCAGGCCCCACCGACCTACTCAATGATATTAGTCGTCTGCGCGAAACACTGCGAAGAGAGCTCCCCGCTGACTGGTACGACGCTAGAGGCTTGTTGCGACCTGACACTGGTTGCATAGCGACAATCTCACCAAGCGGATATTACTTTCTGGTGGCATTCTTTACGATAGCCGCGCTAGGAGGAACATGTATACCACTGCGTGAGTCCAGCCTCAACTGCATGAAGGGCCTTAAGTGAATGAGGGCTATGACTGACACCTTTATTTACATTTTATACTTTACGTAGCAACTAAGGCCACACCCAACGAGACTCTCAGACTCTTGACCTCAGCCAATGTGACATATATTCTGAGCGAGCCCAACACCATTCAACAGGTTGCTGTTATCAAAGAACACGCAATTAACATCGAGACAATCCAGATTGAGCGGAAGGCAGGATGTGAGTTCACGTACGGTTCCGATTTCGAAATTGATGAGACCCTATCGATTGACCCGCACCAACCATGCATGGTCATTCTTACCTCCGGGGGCAACACCGGCCTTCCGAAAAGTGTTGTTATTCCTCGCCGAACGTTTTTCTACTCCGGCAAGACAGAACCTGACCGTCTGTTTCTGGCTTTCCGCCCTGTTCACTGGATGGGTGGCGTATCAGGGCTCCTTGCGCGGGTTCTGCGTGGGACGAAGATTCACTGGCCACGACGCTCATTCGACCCAGCTATATTCTGGGAGATCTTCAAGCAGGGTACTATTACAGATGTGTCGTTTTCTTCTTCACTGTTTAAAAGTCTAGAGGACTACTATCTAGTAAACATCTGCCGGCTTCCTTCTGATGAGCGCGAGGTATATGTATCCGGGGTGGGAAAGATCCGGGTTGCCACGATTAGCGGTTCAGCTATGAACCCCGCCACGGCCCAGTTTTGGATCGAGCTCACGGGGATGAAGATAAGGAACGTTTATGGGTCAAGTGAACTTGGGGGAATGGTGCTAGCGTCTGGTATTGATGCGCCATATGTCGATGTAGGTTATGCCTGGATTATCGCATCTGTCACTCCGGTGTAATTTACTGACCTGTCCAGAGGTGCATTGGTATGCCTATTCCTGGAGCACAGATCAAGCTATCAAATGGAGATGAGGGAGAATTGCTTGTCAAGTCTCCTCGAATGTTCACGCAGTAGGGCTCTCGCGTGGATGTTTGCCTCATATATGCTGATATTTGACAGTTACCTTAATGATGAAACAGCAACAAAGAATGCATTCGATGAAGATGGATTCTACAAAACAGGCGATCTCGTTCGACGCGTCGGGGCGTGTTATTTTTTTGAAGGGAGAGTAGACTCTGACTGTACGAACCCTCCTCCTGCTCAACCTTGAAAATTTCTAGGTGGCGTCTCTAAAATCTAATTGGATGTTACCCAGGGATCAACTTTCTTGACCGCAAGATTTCAGTTTTAGAACTAGAAGAACATCTACTGCGCCTTTCTTACATATCTGAGGCCCACGTTCTTCCTGTTCTTGACCACGAGACCAGAGGAGTCCCTGCAGCACTTGTCCGTCTCAACTGTGGAAACTCAGATATTAATCTGCGAAGAATCCGCGATGACCTTTCTCTAGGCTTGGAGCGTTATAAACTCCCTGCACTTCTATACATATTGAAAGCCGGAGAGGACGTACCCAGAGCGGCCTCTGACAAAGTGCTCAAGGCCCAGGCATTGGACAAGTTCTTTCGTATCCGTGGGTATCGGCCTCGTGGATATTGTGTCGATGGGGTTGAGTGTCTCAGGACCTCCTACTCGACGAAATGAAGTAGAGGGCCCAGGTACTCAAACCTCCAGCTGAAGTAGGAAGAATTCATTTCAAAACTACCAAGTTTAACTGCGTCAACTGCAGCGATATGGAGCAATTCATGAAAATGAACTAAAGGACCACCTAGTTCGAATTCGCAGAGACTCAATACATGTATATTATATTAAACGTAACTATCACGCACCCGAATAGCCTGCCCCGCAACGTGCCGTCCAGGAGAAATTCTTTATCTCAACCATCTACTCCATCGCTGCCAAAGCTTTATCATTCCAGGGACAAGTACTCAATGGCGTAACCCCACTTGAAGTGGCCCAAAATGGCTTTCACTATCAGCCTTATCTAAATGGCGGCCTGGCCTGCTGCTTTGCGTGTCAGTCAGCCCAGCGCTTGAACAGCTTCCAGCACATCTCTATCCAGGAGATGCAACAACTACACTTAATGGACTGCATATATCTGATCATCTGCAGTGACTTGAAACAGCACCTTGATTCCACCGATACACTCCCACCTTCAATCAACGCATTCCCGCCACCTCGACAGTTAGCTCCTAGCCCCTATCCTTCTTCGAATAGCGAACCACTCAAGAACATGACCGCCGCTGCTAGTGAACAAACACAGTCCGGATCAACACAACGGTGGTGACCACAACAGAGAAATGTCCAAATGAATACCTCAACCCCCGTGCCCACCCGCCATCCGCTACAACTAACCCAGAATCACATTTACCTCCACCAACCTACTCCCCTCAGTCTATGCGTCCGACACCAACCACCACTCCCCCACCTCAAAGCCGTCAACCGACCTATGCTGGGGTCCTCCGGCACCGCATGAAAACTTCTCTGCAATGGATTCCTAAAACCCGAGAAACTGTCTCTTCCACCGAGTGTATACCCACAATAGAAGTTCTTCACCGCCGATTTTACAATAAACCGTCACCGTTCTAGCTTGAGCCCAAGAGAAGGAAACACTCACCTATTCGAATTTGCAATACACCCGTATCTGCGACAAAGTCATTGTCCAAGTTTTTGACTTCAGCATTGCCCGCATTCTCGCGCATCCTATTGTAGCAGAAATGCAGCAAGATCCGAACACTTGTAGGTCTTACACGCAAATTCATTTTAGTCGCGCCATGCGGGCAGCCTAATATCATGGACGGCTACCAGGCCAAGGCAGGCCCGAACGAGGCCCCAAGTTCGTTTAAGAAGTGGTACAAGACACATGTACGTACATTATGGAATATAGTTGTTTATGCTGCATATAGCTTTTGCGAGGGGTCAGCGTAAATGAACCATCCATCCATCCATCCATCCATCCATCCACTGTACACCTGATCGCACTGAATGGGAGACAGGACGAGAGTTATCTCGTCAAGGCCTATAGCCAATCAGATGCAGCTTTGGTCTCCAAGCCCTTTCCGAGATAGCCAAAAGTATGACTATCAAGGAGGTTTGCGGTAGCTATATGAACCGGAAGAGACAGAGAGCGATGATTCGTGGCCCTGTGAAGAATTGGACGAAGAAGCCGTGTGAGTCTTTCCACATGCTGAAGCTTATGGGGTTTGGCAGAGATATAAACATCTTCTGTCCAAGAGTTGGACGGCTCGCTAATGTATTCGGTAGAAGTTCTTGTCGCTTCCAAACGCTTTGCTGATTGTATAGACCCGAGTGAGATTCGTGAATATCATTGGCTACACAAACCTCTGGAAGCTACTCGACAGGCAGCAAAAGCTCTTGAGGGAGTTGATATCCACGTAGTCGCAGATCAGCGCACTGCGAGCGATGAGTCTCAAATCTTTTGGATTTATACTTATATGATACCAGTACTCCAGAGTATTATTAATATATGCAGCGAGAGGTATTGACAGCTGTGACTAGATCGCATATTCTGTTGTTCCTTCATCCGACCTCTTGATACGACAATCAGATCACTCGATACAATCTAGAATGGACAGCCTTATTGGTACAATCGCAAGCATCTCTTGCACCATTTTCTGTTTCTCTACTGGTAAATTGTCCACGACGGTCTTGGGTGATCCATGTAAATTTCAAATGCACACCGCACACTCGACAGAAACAATGGCAATTGAACCTGCGCTGAAAGAGGTATTCTGAAGTGTTTTCGGATCCGTGAATCGAGACACTGTCTTGGTAAGGGTATATGCAGATATTGGCATTTTATCCTGGTCAGGCCTAATAGCACGGGAAGTTTCCAGTATGGATACTTACTCTCTGGCAAATACTGCAGTTGTCTTCCTTGATCTCCACCTCTGACAGGAGGTTGAGCTGCATGGCTAGGGTAACGGCACCACAATAACAAGCTCCGGTGTAGAGTTTCAGGGAATCGCTTGAGACTCTCGGTAATTGTCTCTTGAATGGAACAGAGACAGGTACGTCGTTGTAAGGGCTGTCTAGGCTATTTTATTTTGCATGTTAAGGAGATCTTATCTGAAGGACCTTGGAATGACTTACATCTTAACTTCAAGGGTAAAGGGATACACACCACATAATGCTCTTGTCTGTGAAAGGTTTAGATTCAACGTCGTAGCTATGGCAGGCTGGGACAAGCACCACTTACATTCACAGCTATGCTTGATTCTCCATCCTGTATCATATGATTCTTCTCCATGATTCCTAAACCCCACAGGGCAAAATTAAAAGAGATAAGGTACGTGATGAATGATCGAAGAGTGATTGAAGAAAGCTCACTAAATGTTCCCCACTACGGCCATTCACAGTGAAATTTGCCATAACTTGTTGGCCACTTGTAATCCGGAACTAATATTCCTCGGGAAATATCCGGAGGTAGCCCTTCTTTCTGCACATCGAGCAACGGGGGCTAAAAACATGCCGCAAAGGTTGGTGTAGATCTACATCAAACCTAATTTGACCGTAATGGAAGTTTCCTGCATAAGTTTTTGGCGATGACATCTCGTTCATGTTTGCTCTGTCATACTTTCGTGTGAGATGGGATCAGAGCTGTGTCAGAGCAGAAAGCAAGGGAAGCAAGAGAACGTATTCACTGTGAGGAGTGGCAAAGAAGAAGAAGAAGAAGAAGAAGAAGAGAATCTGCGACAGGTGAAGCCTAAGTACAGGAAAGGCACGAGTCCTAATATGGACGTCAGCAGGCTGGAAATCGGAATCCGGAGACAAAGAGATGGATCTATCGCAACGCTAGTCATATTTGATTTATTATAGTGATATAGTGCCGCTATCGCCTCAAATGTCCATAGAGAAGCTTTCAAACCCTTATCATATGCGGCACCAATCCTGATTTGGTTAGTATAGTATTTGGTGATCTATAAGAACTTCAGAGACGTATCATTGCATTGCTAAAGGTAAACTCTAGCAGTCCCATGGCGCATTTCAGGTATCCCAACTTCAGCACCACCAACTTCCTCCGGGTGGCACGAAACCTCAATGCCTGGCAGCGTCAAACCAATCTTCATATGATTTGCGTAGTGAATCTTAGTGCCATACACAGACGCCAGGTTCTTTATCGGGTTACTGTAGTCGAGCTCTCCAGCCACCGAGGCTTCATGCGACAACCAGTGCCACTCAAATTTGGCTCAGGGTATACGCAATGGGATTCTTCCATGTCGAACTATCTGGTTTGATCTAATTTCACCCGATGTGGCAATTTCTCAATTATATGGTGTAAGCCAGCATACAAACAATATTTATATATATACAATGTTAATTGTAGCCTCCCAAACATCCATGGTTCCGACAGGCTATCCTGACTTTTGATCTATCAAGCCGTCAATACATTGTAGAGCATGAAGAAACCAACAAGATGCGTAGAGTCGCGTGTTCAGAAACAGAAAGGCATGGTCGGGTTTGCTATGTTGAGGGGTGGAACTATAGGTGGAACCCAACCACGGATTTCTCAATGGTCAATAACCATAGCCAACCAAGCTATGATAGCAAAACTTCAATGCATCCCGTGTACTGTTGGCTTTCGAGGAGTATCCACGTGATACGAACACCCCTACATGCTCTTGGTGTCTAGTCCCATTGAGTGGCCATCGCTCCATGATTTTTGGTTTTCCTTAAGTTGTGTCCGCGATCTCGACCGCAACGGGACTGGTCAAGGTCTCTGATGTGTCATCTCTGGATGAGGCATCCTAATTCTGCAAGACTTGTGCCTGCAACACTTGCATTGCCTCCGCAATGTCTGTTCTCGCCCGGACCAGGTCCCTTCCCCGATGGTTAGATTGAGATATCGCAGTCTCTAGTTCGGTTTGGAGTGCGCAAATCTGGGCCCGAAGACTACGCCCTTCACTACTAGGTTCTCCAAGCGTGTGCGCGTGCGATCCAACTCAAGGCTCAAGCTGTGATTTGCACATTCAAGGCTGTGCAGCTTGGCGGTGAAGGACACATCTAACTCACCATCACGGTTTGTCCGCTAGTTCCGAATAACTTTAGTGTGAGATGGATAGATGGATTTCGAAAGGAGCCACGCAACTCACCTCTGCTGCAACTTTTCCTTCGGCCCTGGGACCAGACTGGGGACCCTGTGGACCGGCGGCGAGACAGGCTCGAGCGAGCGACCGAGCTCTTTGCTGATAATCTGGAACAGACCCACCATCCCGCTGCTCAGGTGCGACTTCAACAAGTAGGCCATCCTCAGGGGGCGGCTGGAGGCGGACCTGACCGGGAGCGACGACGAGGCCAAGTCGATCGTCTGGGAAAGTTAGCGTCGAACGTGAGCATGGCCAGAGAATCAGCGACACACGAATATAGGCGGCCAGAGCCTCTTGACATTGTTGTTTCAACAGTCCGCGCTTCTCGTTGCTACTTTTTACCATTTTGCTTTAGTTGGCGATGCCATGTTCCTGCTTGATGCTTTTATCTCTTTTGCAACTCCTCAACAAAAGCCCGGCAAGAAAAGCCCGTTTCTGAAAATTGCCTCCAACTTGAAGGTCGGTGAGATAAAGTTGTTGACTTATTCAAAAACCGGTTAAGCCGTCCGTTAAAGTAGCCGTCTTTACTCACCAAACATGACAATGTAAAATGAAGCGCTGGATTCTGGCCACACCGATGGCCTCAAATAAATTATAATAAATAGAATAATTCCAGTGGGTACTTCAACGGCGATCACTTATTGTTCACCACAACCGCTTTTTCCTGAGGTCGGCTTTGATCGATGAACCCATGCGGGTCTCGGTGGGTCACCAGTAGGAACTACAAGGCGATAAACAAAACTCTCCACGCGTTGCTTCAACGCTGGAAGTGGCCACCGCTGTCATTTTCAAGGGCGCATTTATAGTAGAATCTTTTAGACTGAAATCGCCGTTAAGCCACTGACATGAATTTGAAGGTACAGAACGTTACTAGGAGAAGTGAAGTATGAGCGAGGAAGAGGGTGGTGAAGAGAGGGTGGTGAAGAAGGTTCTTCAACTTTCTTGTGGAGAGCTAGCCTTTTACTCGCTGATAGTTGACACAGGCTTCAACGTTCAATGCGATGGCCGCTTCGTAAACCAGAGAAAAGGGCGAAGAACTAGTGCCCGTGAGCGAATCCTGTGGAATGGACTCAAAATCAAGTTCAAGTGTATGGCCGACCGGTGTGACCCTTGCTATAAAACGGGCATTTCTTTGGGCCAGAACAGTCCCAACGATATTTCCGGTGACCAAACCAGACTTTGAAGGGGTAGAGAAGCCGCACTAAATACATGGCCTGAATATTAAAGCTTCATGGACAGCAAGCGAACCGGCATCGGCAGACTGCCGCCCCAAATCCGATCGAGCAGAACGCGGCGGACAGTTCCCCCGTCCCCGCCGACCGAGGAATCTTCCGCTGACTCATTATTGCCCTCTTTCCTCCTCCCAAAGGCTGCTCTGGGCGACACGCGAGCCCCAACCGCGGACCTTTTCGAAACAGTTCTGGAGGCATAGAGATTGGTCTCGAGAGCCGGCTAACAGTTAGCTTGGAGCGAGAGATGGTATTGCCAATGTACTGCTATTGGTTCCCACTTAGGAAAGCATTGGCCGCATGGCCGCCGCCGTTGGCAAATTTAATACTACAGATAGGGTTCCGAAAGGAATAATTGAATGCGAATATGAATATATGAATTTTTAAATCGCGCGAATAAACGCATTATTCATATTATTCATATTGTGAGATTTCTCCGCATTACTACTTTGTCCGGTACAGCGGTTATCGTATTATCGAAACGCGCTTAGTGGTTGATTTCAATGTCATCAATTCCTCAGCAGTGCTGGGCTATGAATTTCCGTTGCGAATATATGATGGAAAGTACAAGCTGCTTATGTAGGGTTGACCAGCTTGATGTACCGTAGTGGATCTCTTTGAAACATGATACTCAATCACATGGGTCTGTCCATAGAAACCTGACACCGGCCACGAAGATCCGCGAAGATTATGTATATTTATCAACCCAATCGCGAATCATCTCAGGCAATTAACCGAATACATCTTGTCAGGTCCCTGATTCCATTCCAGACCATTTCAAAATTGGTGTACAAAGTAGCCTTTAGAAATGGCACGTTAAAACGCGTTTGGCCCACGACCCAGAGCCTCCAATAACACTGGCTGGATTTGTTTACGTCCAGAATCGTCAATATCGCGTTGCAGAAAACAGAAAAGAGACCTATCACCTTTTCACGTCAACAAGGGCATACCCAGGTAGCGCATCCCACATACTCAGGCTTTGGCGAGGAACGTAGACTGCAAGGCGAAAGCGATCTTTCCTTTGACAAACAAAGTAGAATGCGGTGCCCCATTCTGTTGTATAAGCGGGTAAGCAGCAACGATTACCTTCAACTATTCTGTATCATTAATTCATCGACAGGTAATAACGCATCGAACTAGATCTAGCCCGAAATAAAAAGCCTGGCCAATAATGTATGGTTGAAATAATTTCTGCAATCGGCCTGGGGAATGACAGGCGTTTAGCGGATGCTCTACCATATCCAAGTGACAATATCTGTAAAGTGAAAACTGAAAGAAAATATAAGGAAGCACAGAGAAATTAACTAGCAGTGAGAGCTTTCGAAGTCGATGGGGAGGGGTGTCCCAAGAACAGCCGCTTTAATCTGAAGAGCCAAAAACCGCGAGTAATATCTAGTTTGGCCCATATTGCCTCCAGCAGTCCATAGCCCTGGATCTAATAATTTATTAGCGTTAGTAAAGGTTGAGAAACGGTGTAGAGACTTACGACCAGTTGGCTGATAGGCGCCATTCAAATCATCTTCACTCCCAAGGCCCCAAAGATGATCAACCTGATGATGGATATCCGAGCCGAATATTGCCAGCACAATTTCCAGTATGTTGAATTTGTAGCCAGTTGCAAAGACAATCACGTCAGCATTGAGATGCGTTCCATCTGAGAACTCGAGGCCACTTTCCGTATACGCGACAGGGAAGCTGCCCGATTTGATTTTGATCTGTGATTATGAGAAAGAAGAAGAAAATAAGACTTTGGCATCTTTGCAGACGTTACGTACTAATCCTTTGGCAATCTTCGCTGAGGTTCCAACATCCACATAGCGACCGCGAAAAGGCCCCTTTGTTCCTGGCTGTTTTCTCTTGAAACCAGCTTTTTCCAAGCTATCATAGCGCCCGGTATCCTTGCCAGCAAGAGCTTTGTTGCGTAACAATCCTCGGACGGCCCGAGGTACAGCGAACCGCATCTGGTCTGCGATTGGTGTCGGAGTGTCCGCATTGTATAACCCTACATCATATGAGTAATCTATATCGGGTAAAGTTGGGCCGACATTGAGAGAGGGAGGGGAATACTTGACATTGATGTCTGTAAATGTTCGTGCGGGAGAACAGCTGAGAAAGTCTAGTCAGATGCCACAATAGAATTATCTCCGAGAGCTCATCGCACCTGTTTCACCCCTCTGAATCATCGTCACCGAGGACAGGCCAGCATCCAGCATGTCCTCAGCTATATCATGGGCTGGTAAAAAGTTAGCTTGAGTGATTGAGTTTGGAGCATCCAGAAGAGATCCCGTTCCTGTGTTGGCTGAGCCTACAATAAGGCCATGCTTCGTCTTCCAGTCCCAAGCATTTCGGTAGTCGATGGAATGAACAACCGTTCCTTTGAAAAGTTCCTTTGTTGATTTTAGAGGTGTCAGAAATTGGCTCATTATTGATGTATTTTGTGAATTCAACCTACCTGGCCTGGGTAAGAGGGCATGAACGGAGTCTGAACCCCGATGCCAGTGGCTAGAACAACATGGGAGCAGGAAACAATCCTAGTGCCATTTCTTTGTTTCACCTTTAAAGTCCACTTTTTACTGGCCTTGTCCCATTGGCCAGACACCAATTCGGTGGATAGCCAAACATTCTGGTGATTGTCAGCCAAGCGCCCTCCTGCTTAGTAGGATGGAGTACGTACTATATCATATCTATCCACCCATTCCTGGTATCCTTTTGCAAGATCATACTTGCTTAACCGCTCTGGGTATCTATCCGAGAAGGTCCGTTCGAATGGTAAATGGCAGTATTCCCGCGGTGTATGCGCTACTCATGGAGAGAGTTATTGTCAGCCTATTCATAATAATAAGAACAATGATGTTACCAGGAAGATAGCGCACTTTTGACCGAGTCGTATCGACACAGCCAGTTATCTCCTACCCGCCGGTTGCGGTCGATGGCCACATATGAAATTCCCAAGGCCTTCAACGTCCCTGCAACCGCCAGACCGGCCTGGCCAGCCCCAACAACCACACAACCCAACTCATAAGGAGGGCGGATATTGCAGCCTGAGCCCTGGGATGCCTTTGTGGGACTAATTGGTATTGTTGGATTCAATCGGTCAACATTTCCGTGCTTCTCTTCCAGCTGATCCAGCAGGGTTCGCATCATCCAGATCCTCCATGTATCACTGCTGCCTTTCTCTCCATCCGGAACCAAGGAAAGCATAGCCAAGCCACATATTATTGGCTCTCTTGTGGTCTTGAAGTGAAAAGGTACATCAACCCAGGATGGTTTTCCGGCATGTTGCTTCGTCTGTACTTGTTCTGTTATAATTTGAAAGGACTTGATCCCACGTGTTGTGGCCAGATGTTTCCAGGCCGCGGCAATGGTGATAGCTGAGTAGAACGTGTGGATCCTGCCGGACACAGCAAAGAGATCATACCATAGAGCATCGTCTGTGAAATCAGAATGATCTAGAGCCGGCAGACGACGTGAGAATTCTTCTGCTATGACAAGAGCATTGATATTGTCAGGGAGGTGAACGTCGGGCAGATGGCAGAAAGGTGGTTGGACATTTTTGCCAGGCATTTTGACTGGGATGAGATCTGGAGAGAAGAATGACAACGAGGGTTATAAAGGTGATGCTTGATAAGCCTCGAATGACAAAAAAACGAAAGGAAAAGTAAGCTCAAAAATAATATTTGCAATCACGGATAGATAGACCAGTATGCCATGGAGTATCTTCTATGTTGACTACTACACCTATTTCTGCCTATTTCTGAAACAAAGGTAGGATATCGCTAAATGAGCGGTCAATCCGGTTGACGAAATTTTAACGAACCGTATTTAATACTGTAGAGATCTACATATCACATCATGCAAGTCGAAAAGGAGCCGCTTCATCTTAAGGTTTGTTAGCATCTGAATGATCGCCTTTGGAATATGCTTAGGCCTTCGGCCAAGGTTGTCCTTCTACCACATAGGTTGTAGTTGCCTTGCATCCCTTTTGAGATCAGGTATGACGGACGACTCAAAATAGCTCACGCTAGCCGAGTTCGTTAGAACAAAGAAACCATACCCATCCCTTGATTACTTTTACTCTCCGAAATCCACGACTTTTGGTTCTTTCTGCGGTCGCCTAACGGGGATCTTTGATTCGCTGAGTACTCGATGCTTGCGCCTGCTCGGTCCGCCCGAGTGCGTCTTGCGGTCACCTAACAGGGGTCTTGCGACGAATCATCCGCTGAGTTCTCGATGCTATTGAGCTCTGACGTGTTTCCTCGAGCGGGGTAGCCCCCTTTCAAATGGACAGTTTTACAGTTTTTCCTCCGAAGCTGAAGAGTCCCCGAAACGAAAGTACCGCTCACAAGACGTGCTACTTCCTTCATGGTATTGAAGACGTACATGCAGATATGTATATCAAATGAGAATTGTATTTTTGCTCGAGAAAAGTCTTGAGCAGTGATTCGCTCTACCAATTAAACTTCTCAAGCTAATAATAAAATATACCTTATTTATAATTAATAGTTGCATAAAATAAAAATTATAAATTGTATTAAAAAATAAGAATATTATTGGATTTATCAGGACTCGATCCTGAAATAACGATATGCAATTGTGTCTGCAGCAGCACCGGACGAGGCCATTAGCATAGTCTTATCTTTGCGTCCGAGAACGTCCATGCCGGCGAAAATGGCCTTAGAAACCAGGGACTTCCCTGTGCCGCCTTGGCCCGTGATACAGATTAAGAGTTGTTTCCGTCGGGAAGAGTCATATGGATGATCAGATTAGATAAAGCTTTGGCTCATATCTTTATCACGATGAATTGTTACGTCTTGTTTATCAGAATATCTTAGCGAAATAAATATATTGATGAGGCAGCTATTAGATTTTCGTCATGCTAAAATCGAAGATCCTGCAGAGAATGGAATATATTAGAGTCTAGTAGCATAGGTTATAAGAAGCTAACTCTAACGTCTTCGTCGAAATAATCTAAGCGAAAGGAGGGGTCCAGCTGTTTAGCAGTGGAAGCATTGTCTCTAGGGCTCGCAGTGTTAAGATATTACTACTTGCAGGGTAGAAAGCCTGTCGACTAGGTAGGAGAGTAAAGCACTAAGTCCAATTGTGACAGAGACTGTTTCTTGAGGAGTTCGAAACCTCCTCAAGAGGGTTCCATTTATATACAGTCTTCTTGCTGAATAGGAAGGAGGAGTAAAAGCGGGGAAAGGAGGGGACAGTACTAGATAGTGTAACATCTGTAGGGTGTCTCCTTACAGAGGTTCACTCTCGTGCTGATACCGAAAGGCTGGCGGCCTAGCGCCTAAAGGTTGCTGTTTTGCCAGGTCCCTTAGGTCCCGCAAACCACCGAACAAGCTTCCGCCTCGGCGGCTCCTTATTGCCTGAGGCACCAATCTGTGAATAGCTTCATAACAAAATATCATAACACGCAGGGTATAAGAGAGGGTGTTTCTCGCTCTATAGCAGGAAGTTAAAAGGAATACAATAATCTAAAACCTCAGGGTTCTACTAATAGAGGAGTCAGTGATGGTATGTACGTACGGGTTTCTGTGTTGCGTATTTATGCTTGCCTTGTTCTATGGGCTAATGTAAGGTCTCGATACGCTATGATAGTCAACTCTTGGCTCTGGGTTTGACTGATAGATGGCGAACTAGGCGGAGATCGGAGTTAGCGCCTTAAAGGTCCGACTCCAAAGCTGGAAGTCCTCATTAAGCTCGTTGCTCTCGGAACCGAAACTTCCTTATTCGAGATCGGCGATATTGACTGAAAAATTAGAGTCCTTGTATGCCGGTGAATATAATCTCGTACCTCCTTAGTAGACTTAGGCCTGCGAATAAGCAAAATATTCGTAGCGAATTCGCGATAATACGGTGTGAGGTTTGGTTCTATACATATTTTTGTACAGATAGTCTGAAAGCCCAAAACTAGGTAGGCCGTTACGTAGATCTGAAGGATACAATTCAGATCACATCAATAATCAGCCGATCAATATATCCTACTGCTTTAAGAAAAAGCCATAACTAATACGTGCGGATTAAGGGCCGCAAATACCGGGTCAGGACCTCTCTGTGTAACGTAGAGCAAGCTGATCTAGCGTTGACTAGTATACATTGCGACAAATTAAACCGAACAGAACCAGCAATTATATATGATTGATCTATTGTTCAGACACAACGCAAAAAGTAAGCAAAAAAAAAAACGTAGGGCAGTGTTGATTGTCTCATGTCGCACAAATTGTGGGGCATAATTCCGCTAGTACTCCATAGGCAACACTCTTATTGCTTCAACATCCCAGAACCCAACCCAGCACTATAAAACCGACGACAGCCTAAGTCTTCCAATTTTGGTTGTCTATACACCGTATATATATGTGCAATTCTCAATTCTCCAAATATATTGCCGTGCCGTATACCCTAGGTATTGAGAGTGCATGGTTGTAAAGTCCAAATGTGATACGCAAATTGCTATCCCGATATGCTCGGCCAACCCCCACTCACCCAACATCCTGGCGAAGCACATTCCATCATTTGAGAGATGACCATGGAGGAAATTGTCATACTGCATGAAAAATGCTGATGAAATCCAAAGCGGCCTATTGACTTATTAGGAGTAGGGATCGCTACGTGTTAACATGTGTGGGTGATACCCCGCACTTAGTGAGTGTATAAGCGATGCGCATGCGCTAATTGAGCAAGCCAATTGGATCAACAATCCTATGGCCCGCTACACAATACGATGATAAGATATCAACTATCACATCAAATAGAAAAGCAACGACTAGTAAAGGCTGCGGACAGGAAGGTGCTTCGGCTATTCGAGTCTGTCGAAACCCTACACATCGATTCTAATTCAAATGCGCTCTATGCGGATCGCTTTGAATCACTTCTTATTCAAAATCAAGGCGGTTGAATCAGATCAATGTTACTATAGTGAAGGGTCTCGAATACCGAGACACGTCTTACTGTAGTGCCCGTTATACGCTAATCTAAGGAACACCTTCCTTAACAAGGTCCGGAAGACCGATCTTGGGGACTCGACGGATTACGATGCCATTGTATCTCACCCGCAGGCTAACCGCTACGTAGCCAAATTTATGCTGCAAATAGGCCTTCTAGGGTAATTCTGGCACGTCGAAATCGAGCTAGAACTGCCAGAACAAGCTAACGGACCAAAGAGCCAGGATAGACTGGCAGGCACAGGTGGTGAAGACGCTAGGTAGAAGAAACGCTAAGCCCGAGGGAGACCGAGAGGACTTGGAAGACTACACAGCAAACGCCACTAATAGGATGTAGATACCAGAGGGGGATAGCAGGGACAGAGATGCAGTGGGGATAGCAGGCTAATGTGAGGGCGAACTGAGAGATATATTGTGGGATTGAGGGCATTGTGGGCGTTTTGGTACTGTTTTTGGGCTGTTTTTTGGGCTGTTCTATATAGTAATACGCCCTTTTCTATGTATCTACTGTTTCATGCGCGGGTCTAGCGTTCGGATCACTCTTGCTTCCGCCGGAGGAAGCGCCTGCATAGCCATTACGCCACTAGTTAGGCTGAAACAGGTTAATAGCGTGTTGATTGATTGATTGACCCCATCAGCAAAACTAGCCAACTTCGACCGCGGCACCGCGCCTAGCCTGACCTTTTGGTTGTTCAAGTACTCTGAAAATGAAAATGGAGCTAAGGTAAACTTGGTTCACAAATTGTCAAAATGTCAGGTCTCTGGAAACTCTTGATCTGAATCCAGTCTGGCGCCAAAAAAATCAAATGAGGTAGCTCTCAGAAGAGTAGTGCGATACTTAAGATTCCAATCCTAAACTAAATGTGACAGACTTGATTCACCCCCGTGGGATAGGGCAACAATAACATCCTGCTTGATTCCTCTGTTAGAGTTTAGCGATAGCTGGAAATCCGTTCTTCTTCATCCACTCATTGCTAACAAATTTTGACAGGTAATTTCGCATTCCATCCGGGAAGACGATGACAATGACTTTGTCTGGCGTGTTCAACTCCGGGTGTTTCTCAACCAACTGCGCTAACGCAGCAACATTTGCTCCAGAAGAACCACCACAAAGCAAACCCTCCTCGCGAATTAGCTGCCTTGTAAAACGGAATGAATGTTCGTTGTTTGCGTTGATCCAGAGATTTGCTGCCCCCTGATCCAAAACATCCGGAACAAAGTCTTGTCCAATACCCTCAACTAGGATCTCGGTCTTCTCATCAATGCTCTTGCGCGGTATTCCAAGTACTGAGCCAACCGGGTCGACTCCGACCATGAAAATACCTGGCTTATGCTTTCTTAATCCGCGCGCAGTTCCTGTAAGTGTTCCTCCTGTCCCTGCTCCAGCAATCACGGCATCGACTTTTCCCTCGCTTTGATACCAGATCTCTTCTGCGGTCCCGAATTCATGAGCGGCCGGGTTATCGGGGTTGGCGAATTGATCGAGTATATGTGAATTAGGAACATCTTTCTGGAGTCGTCTGGCCGTATTGGTTACGTGATTAGGTGAGTCAACTGGCACCCCAACAGGAGTACGCACGACTTTAGCCCCTAAAGCTTGTAAAATTTGTTCTTTCTCCAATGAGATCACCTCGGACATAACGATGATGCATTTATAACCCTTAACCGCAGCGATAAGAGCAATTGCGATTCCTCTAGTTCAAATGACAAGGTGATGATTAGTTTGAATGTTCACGATACCTACTCAGCCGTGAGAAGAGCTTACGTGTTTCCGCTTGAAGCTTCAATCAAGGTGTCACCGGGTTTGATCCGTCCATCTTGCTCCGCACTTTCGACCATGCGCTTTGCGATTCGATCTTTTGAAGAGCCGCTTGCATTGAAGTACTCTAGCTTAGCGTATATCTGGGCCTTGACGCCGATAGTTGCGGGGACGCGGTTCAATCGAACGAGCGGCGTTGCTCCAATATGGTCTATAATGGATATGCTGCCTAGTCGGCCAAGGAAAGTACCCTTTGTCGGTCGAGTGTTCTCCATGTCTGTCGGTATCAATTAGTAGATATGAAGGAAAAATGGCGTGCCATTATCCTCCAGTAGTTTTTAAAGTAACTTTTTCTGGTCTCATTCAAGCCTCGTATTAAAAACAGCTGCATTCCGACTCCAATTACTGCGGATACCTGCACCGCAACCAAAATATTCGTTGTTTCATGCCGGGGATACAATACAGTCAAGTGGTTACCTGTGTAGTAATTGATTACCTATTGTCATTTTTTTTACATTGGCGCTAAGCGGGTTGGACGCACTTTACACACCGTCATTTCCATACTTCGCCTTCTTACTCCATTAGAAGGGGGCTAACTTATAGATTACCCACCCGTGAAAATTAATTAAGTCGGAGGTGCAGCTGTCGCATAGAGCTGGCAGAATATGATTCACCAAATTAACGAATGTGAAATAGTCTGTCAGCCGGCGTTGTTTGGTAACATACTCTATCAAGTGGAGTTTCGGAGAACGATGATCGGGTCTCACTTGACCTCTAGGTAAGAAGCTGACACCGAGCGAGTCAAACCGCATGTATCATTCCATTTTAAATTGATTTTTGAAAATTGGTTAGCAAGATGTGTTTCATCCCTTTTGTAATGATGAGCCGTGATTCTGCAGGACCTGCCGGTGTAGCTCGGGGTGGGGCCCATGCCCACTTCCAGCCACGGTCCATCCTTTCCTTGGAGACCTAGCTCATATGTGCGGCTGCAAGCATGCGTCACTAGTACTGTAGACCCCTCTCGAAGGTAATCCTACACGTATGGAAAATCAGCCCTCTGCAGAGTACCGTTTCTCACCGTAGGTTGCCAACTGTGAACTTTACCACCTCTGCCCAATCTTAAGCTTTGTTCATCGCCCCGCTATTATTACCGATGAATAGACCCACTGAAACCCGGCGAGCTCGTGCATATTTCAAATTTGTCGAGGGCCACAGAAGGTTTGGTTGCCTATATTCGAGAGGAACGAGCCTAAACTATCGTAACTTGCGCTGACAGATATCTCTCAGAGATACTTCGTATTACCCCCTTCCGCTTGACCCTTTTAGGCATTAATGTATTGTAATATAATGAATTTTAAGCTACATATTCAGGGACGATCTGGTGTTTGGCGTGTTTCGCTGCGTGTTAATATTACACTAGATTGCGGTCGATTTCTTTGCAGAGATGTGGTACGCAGTACTACTGTAATTGCAAGGAACTTGATTAGCGGTGTGGCTTGCTCCCTAGCGTGTTGCATTGAACACGAATATGTCGGTACCGCTTTGGCCTAATCATCTGGACAAATCATAGGTACCTTGTCTTCTCCATTGATTATGTTCGTTCACCCAAATAACGTAGTTCATGCCCGAGCAGATCACCCTAAAACACCATAATCAACGATTCAGATTATAACTTCATATCTCAACAACCAGATAATTTTATAATTAAATATTAATTGATTATAATCTTGATACCATTTCCAGCTTACTGGCATGATATAAGAAGGTCAATCAAAGTACTGATAGAGATACATGGATTTGAGTCTTAAATGACAAAAATATGCTGGATTTTATAGTAATGCATCCAACTGATATTGATATGTAGCTTAAAATCTATGAATGCTCTTCCTGAGTCACAGTAAATACATGACCTATATCCCTAATCGAAAAAGCCCTTTTGCGGTCGAAATATGGATGAATCAAAAGACGGCATTAAGTATTATGTTTTGGGGTGATCCGCTCAGCCGTGTGATCCGCTCGGGCCTGAATCGGGTTCCAGCTCAGCGTGGTCCAAAAGGTTCAGGATGGCTAAGACTCTCGGCTAAGTCGCAATGATACAATCTGACAATCTCTTACAATACTAGTTCTCACTAATGATACCGACACAATACTTGCCTAGCTGATCTACACCCGCCGATCTTTCGTTGATCACAAATTACCATCACCCATGCATGGCCGTGGCCTGATTTTTACTCTCTGCAATTGCAGTTGGGTTTCAAACTAAATTACCTCACAGGGACTTTATACCAATTGCATCTGCGCCATTTAGTATGTTTCCACTTGAAATAAAATACAGCGCTTGTATAAGCCTTGGAGGAATGCATGATCCTTATAGTATGCGTCCGAAATTCCTGGCTTAGTCTAGTGATGTCAAATATGGACACATGAGAACAACCTATTTGAAAAAGGAAGGCCCTGGAGCTCACCCATATATGACCGCGGACCACTTCACTTGCACAACATTAATACCCCACTCCTGGTGCATCCTTTGCGAAAAAGGGGTTACGGAAATATCTCCAAAGATCGCTCCAGATATACTAACGTAATTCACAAGCGAGTGGCCCAGCCCAAAACACCATACTATATGCTATAAATTACAACACTATATCTCAGCAACCATATCTAATAAAGATTCGGAATTAAGTCAGGAAAATGCGGATAGACTTTTCAGCATACTGACGTAGTATAGAATAGTTACAATAAGTTTTAGTGGAGATAAATACAGGCGTTGCTTTAATGATTAAAATACGTTGTATTTTATGGTAATATAGGGAAATAATATTCAGAACGGCTTCAAGCCTTTTTGGATTATTTCTTGTAGACACAAAAGCGTATATGCCAACATTCAATCAACAACAAGACATGCTTGTTGAGATAGAGAAGTTTAAAAATATGGCATATAGGATGGTGTTTTGGGCTGGGCCACTCGCTTGTGTGGGCCACCCGCTTGTGAACTAAGTTAGTCATCAGGGTAGGAGCACAAAATAGGGAAGGGCGGTAGAAAGATTTCAAAATGTCAACTGTTTTGAGCACATCAATTGCGGCAGCGCAACGATAAATTCTTGCGTGCTTCCTCTCTCAAAGCTTAGCGACAGCTGGGAATCAATTCTCTACCATCCACCCACTGCTGACGAACTTGGATAGGTAATTTCGGAACCCATCCGGGAAGACGACCACAATGACTTTGTCTGCCTTGTTTAACTCCGGGTGTTTCTCAACCAACTGCGGCAGCGCGGCAATATTTGCTCCAGCGGAGCCGGCGCAAAGCAGGCCCTCCTCACGTATTAGCTGCCTTGCAAATCGGAATGAGGGTTTATCGTTTGTCTTAATACATAGATTTGCTGCGCTCTGGTCCAAGATTGGGGAATGATGGCGTACTGTTTACCTCAAGTAGTATCGGATGAAGCTAGATTTGTATGGCCAAGTAACGATGCAGGACAAATGAGATCAAGTGGAGTCAAAACATTCTGAATTGGTTGATTGATTCGAGGAGGAGAATGGGGGATATCCGTTGGGGGAGTCCCTATAGTCTGCGCACGCGCGTGTTCTTCCGCACTGGCGATACCTGGCGCTTACAATTCCTGAGTGCCGTATTAATCCAAAATAACTACAAAAAAATAAGAAAACTGGTGTCCAATGGGTCCTATCCCTCGCTGGTGGTAAGTGAACGTAATCTGCGGCCGATGAGCCTTGTTCCTCGATCTGTACGACGTTTAATAATAGTACGGGAACCTCGCAAGCTAGGTTGGCAAGGGGAGCTGCCCACCGGAAATGGTTCCACTGCCGACCCCCTTTTCTCAGGGCTGGAGACTTGATCCAAATTAGACTTTATGTAATATTCTTCGTACGGACATACGTCTCTCTGTGTATAAACGTGCTACGCTGTCTCTATGAAAATTTTCTCTTGAGTCGAGCAGCATGTTCCGTCCAATTTCCCCGACACCGACCGTGGACAAGTTTCCAAATGACCCTATCTTTAATCAACTGGCCAAACTCAGTCGAAACGTCACCGGAGTGATAGTTCACGACAGGTATGGTATTGATGCAGGGTACAGAGACCTGTTGAATGACATACTACGTTTGCGTCAAGTTTTGCGAGAGCAACTTCCCCTCGAATGGTTCGACAGCAAAGCAGTTTTTCGACCAGAGGCTAAACCAATTGCTATCTTGGCGCTTAGCGGTTATTACTACCTGGTCAGCTTCCTTACTCTCTTAGCATTGGGAGGGAAATGCGTTCCGCTGCGTGAGATATATCTATCGTCACATAACTGCTTTGCAACAACGCCTCTAACCTAATCCCAAGCATGCGAAGGACGTTTAGAAGATACTGCCTACTATTTATACAAGTCCGGTGCAACTCATATCCTAATCGAGCCCAACACATCAAAGCGAGCTACAGATATCAAAGATCATGTTGTCATGTCTGGGTATCTGCTACGCGAAATTGAGGTTCAACACGTGAAATCGGGATCTGAAAAATATTCCGAAATTGAGATAAACGAAGATCTTGTCTTTCCCGAAAGCCGTCCGGCCATGGTTATCTTTACATCGGGGACCACAGGCAAGCCAAAAGGCGTTGTTCATTCTCGCCTTCGATTTTATTTCGACGGCGAGCTTGACCCGAAGACCCATCATCTATCGTACCGTCCGGTGCACTGGATGGCGAGCGCACTGATTCCACTGCGTCGAGTTCTCCAAGGAGGCAAGATAACGTTCCTTCGAAGTGGTTGCGCTGATCCAGTAATTTTGTGGGACGTTCTCAAAGAGGGATTTGTCACTTCTTTAGCAATTCCTCCGTCTCTTTCTAAATTGATGCACGACTACTATCTGACCACCATTCGTCATCTACCGGTTGAATATCATGATCGATATGTTAGTGGTGCATCTAAGTTACTGAGTGTCATCACAACTGGGTCTGTGTTAAATCCTTCTACGGCTCAATTCTGGAAGGAACTCACGAACATGCCAATCGTTGCTATATATGGTTCGACTGAAATAGGAGGAGGAGCATTAATGACTCCCCCCTGGTACTCCCTACCTTCACGTCCGTGTTCTAATTATCCTGAATATTTGTTAAGAGGCTGAAATCTGCTTTAGTTGTGCCTTGGTGCACCTGTTCGGGGTGCCGTGATTAAACTTTCCGAAGGGGATACCGGAGAACTTCTGGTCAAGACTCCTGGCATGTTCACTCAGTAAAAAGCCCACACTTGCTTTGGCTTTCACAATACACTGACTTCCGTTCAGCTACCTTGACGATGAAGAAGCTACGAGAGCTGCCTTTGACGAAAACGGGTTTTTCAAAACAGGAGATATCTTTCGCCGTGTCGGAAGCCAATACTATTTCGAGGGTAGAAAATCACACGATTGTACGTTCTATCCACAGGTCGAAAATGGCATACACTCATAAATCGCTAGGGGTGCAGTTCACAGCGTTCAAGATATCAACAATGGAGCTCGAGTATCGTCTACTGGCGCTCCCATACGTGTCTGAAGCCTGCGTGCTTTCCATACTGGATTACGAAGCGGGAGAGCTACCTGCTGCAGTTATCCGCATCAAAGACGGGGTGGAGTGCGAAATTACCCTCCGGAAGGTTCGTGATGATCTTTCGCCAACTACGGAACTATATAAATTACCCGCAGTCTTGCGAATCCTGGCAGCAGGAGAAGAGTTACCTCGTACCCTTTCAGGAAAGGCGATGAAAAATCAGATACGTCAGAAATATTTCCAGCTATCTGGCTTTCGACCCAGAAACTACGCGGTGTCTGGTGTCGAATTATGGGATGGTCAAATTGATTTAAAATTTATCCAAAATGCTGGGAAGATCGCGGGGGCTATCCCAGCATGAGAATAAGAATCATTAGCATAGCCGAACTATCAATACTAATATACGGATCTGTGCATAAGATTATACCGTTCAGTTTATCAATTGCGGAATCTCACTCTATGTTCGCTTCGTGGCAACTTCACTAAACATATTCCGGCCCACCCCCCCCCCTGACAGTTGCTGTACTCCACTCTAGGTACAGTCAACTTCCGCTTTCTGCACACCCTACCATCCCAGCAGATTCGGTTGCACACACCGGATGTGTGCACATTATGATCGGATGACATAATCTAATCAGATGATTTACATACATTATTTCCTCTTTAGGAGGAAGCCCATCTCATCCAATGTTTTCTGTTTCCTCCCATCCACCTGTAACCTAGTAAAATCGCCAATTAAGCTCTCCATATATCGGATATTCTCTTCCATAGCACCCTCTTTATGCTGAACCCATTCCATGACCTCATGCATATGACTAATAGCCTTTGCATCAGATAAAAGCTCAGGTGGTGGCCCAAATATATAATCTTCATCCTGGTCATCACTAGCACTAGTAAGACCGTCTTCAGATAAATCAGCGATTATATCGGACAAATCAGGGTCGCTGACGTCGATGTTCTCATCTGACGGGTCCAGGAATTCATCTAAAGGCATAGCTTCCTGACCCTCGTAAGTGAGCTTGGTGGTCACCTGTTTATACAGAGGCCCTAATTCAAGGGCATCTTGCCCTTCTATCTGATCGCTACGACCAATAATAGTGCTCTTAATAAAGCAGTTTCTTATGGTCTGATCAGATACGTCCTTACGCTATGCTTGGGCAATCCATCTGATAGTGTAATTGAGGCTCATTCTCTCTCGAGGATCAATGTTCCGATCAAGCATACCAATCTTCCAAAGCATCCACTTCTTCCGATAATGGTGCTTCAGGTTCTGGATAATCCCTTGATCTAATGGCTGGTAAACCGAGGTCGCGTTTGCAGGGAAAAAGACTACCTTGATGTTGGACGGCGGCGGCGCTTTATTAATAGCGAGGAGGTGTGCAGAAAAATTATCCAGCAATAGCAGGACTCGTCTTTGCTTGCCAATATGCCTATAAAACGAGCGTAGCCATTCTCCCATAATTCCATGGCGCATCCATGCCTTGTTATTCCAGCGCCAGATGCATCCGATCGACCGCAAATTTACACCCCGTAGGGCGCGAGGTGTCTTTGCAGTCCCAATTAACCAGAGAGGCATCCGGTCTGAACCAGTAGCATTAGTTGCCACAGCAATAGTGATCCTGGTTTTATCTCTTTTCTGACCAGCATGACCATCCGTCGATAGACCACCGTTTGGCATACGACGCCAGAAAAGCCCCGTTTCGTCCATATTATAGATATCATCGGGCTGATATTGGTCGCAGATTGCCTTGATAGGTTTCATCTCGTCATGTATTGAGGCTGGGACCGATGCAGCTTCGCCATGAAAGGTATGATATCGGATCGAATGGCGTTTTTTAAACCGGGTAAGCCAACCATCAGAGAAAAGGGGCCCTGGAAGCTCAGCATATACGGGTATTTTCTTCCAATATTCGACAGCTTTCATCCGAATGAGTGGCCCTGATATCGGAAACCCAGCATTTATATGTCGTCGCTGCCATTCAAAGAGGGCCTGGTCCAATATAGGCCACTGCGCCGTCGATTTCCGGGTTTTAATCCCTGCTTCACCAGTATCAAGATAGTCGTATTGAGATGAAAGGACCCTTGAGACGGTAGTCCGATCAATAGGGCGGCCGAATTTAGATAGAAACCACTCAGCACATACTCTCTGAGAGGGTTTAGGGCGCGTTTCAGATGCAAAGATACGTAGAGCTTTCTTATGCGCGTCAGAAATGCCCTTGTTCGCTCTCTTTTCGTAGGGCATCCTGGCCGAGAGGGCCACAGATGATGGGGTGGAAGGGATGGAATTCTGCATTCTGATTGGTCGGACTTGTATGACTCAGCGTAGATAGATGGAAAAAAATACCTGCACACCCTGAGTGTGCAGGAAATGGGCAGAATATATGGAAAAATGCATAAAAGTGGGTCCATCCACCAAATTATGGTGAAGAATGCGGATGTGTGACCGCGCCGGGCGTGGAGAATGTGGAAGTTGACTGTAGGTGGTTAGTGAGTGGAAATATATATTTGATACGAGTTGCACTGGTAGCGGCCTTCGGCCGCTGCTCCGAAACGTACTCAGGAGAGTTTAATGGAAGGGAAAGTTTTATGGATTCATGAATTTATTAGACAGGGAGGAGCAGGTCGTGGTATACCACATTCAGTGTTGACTGATCCGTCTCATCTGGGCTCCGTAGGATGTGGATGTCCGAAGCCGTTCGAACGCGGGACAGGCTGGGGTATAGTCGGCCGCGGGCAAAGACAGGCATGGTCAAGGGGAAACTGCCGACGCTGGACGGTCCAATTTGCACGCTGTAGATTGATCTTAGTAGTACTTCACTGAGTCCCCGAAGGCCTAAGATTAAATCTCGGAATCGGTGCCAAGATTTCAGGGGCAAGATAGCTACCAGCGCCAGCTGATGCGTTCCTAGATCCAATTGGGTCGTCAACAGGAGCGTGAACTGGAGTCCTGGTAGTAGGCTGTACCTTCCCAGAAATAGGCAGAAAGAACCAGAAACTGCGTTTAATATCCCGGGAGCTACATAGCTCCTAGAATCGGCTGGTGTATTCCCCGAGTTAATTGAAAAGTAAAATGGAGCGGCGAGCCGCTGGTGCAGTCTCCCAACGACTAGGGAGTTGGCGCGTAATGGTGCACGCACAACAGAATCCCACCAATAATTCAATCAAGAGGCAATCCAAGTAGCTGATGCATTCATATTCGCTTTCCCCTCCGTTATCTGCAATCAGGTGGTTTTCCCAACAATAGACTGGTTCCCGCAGTCGTGGCCCGGGCAAGAGGGCCAGGCGAAGACGTGACCAACTCTCTGTTCTACAGTATGTAGAGTGTCAACCCCAATGGGTTGCTACTCGTACCAAAACAAGGATGAACATCACGTCAATTGTTTTCTAGATGGTGCAACACTTTTATATGGCGAATCTCAGTCATTTATGTTGTCATTAGGCACCAGGATATTCAACATGCGTGGACCTCCGTTACACTGTAAGTTCATGGGTATTTCAACCCCCATGAGCGCCCTCATTTTACGTTCTTCAATCAATCAATCATATACTCAATTTCTCCCCTTTTGATTCCGTTGCATTGATTGGCCTACCTCCAAGTACTCCGTAGCTGTCACATAGTTGATATAGAGAAAATACCTCTATCGCTTTGTGCTCTACCAGGGTGTCAAAACTATGTCTACGATGCTTCTGAGAGACAGCCGGCGTTGCCTGAACACTCAACGCCACCGGTTAAGCAAACTATCTGAAAGTACACCGTAGATGATTGAGGGAATCCGGCCGATGAAACGAACGGATAAATGATGCACAGACATACTATTCGCAAGATCACCATTAACACTTGTTGAGAAAACTCTGGTCATTTGGTGACCAGTACGTCTCTAACATTCAAAATTGAGGTCTTGCGAGGATGGAGTTGATTCTCACATTTTTATTAGTTGGTTCCATGTTGACCGCACCAAGCATTAGTTAACTGGAAATTCTTAGTCACCGTTGTTCACCAGCTTCAACGGTTATACACATCACTGATACCTGCCTACGTAGGAATTAAGGACTGACATATATTCTAAAAATAGGTCTGCAACCTTGTATTAGTCACGCTTGGCATGCTGTGGCGTTGGTGACGAGTTCAGCGTTGATCTACGTCCACAGTAAATCGAGGGCCTTTGTTTGAGCTGACAGGGAAACGTCCATACTCATGCGTTCAAATTAATCAAATTACGGGTCATTTCTCGGGAATTGGGACTGTGTGGCTGTTAAGTGAAGTTTGAACTGTGAACAAAGAATCGCGTAAAACCTGAAGCTCCCAGCATTACATTGATCATAATGCAATAGATATGAAGGAACTTTGTGGTCTTGACCTGGAACCCCGCTGAAAATTTGTTCGTCAATCAACGGTTTTTTCAACGACGCCATCTCCATAAACTCATAATGGCTATTTTAACATTGACAGTGTAAAGTTGGCATGTATCACTCAAGGTAATGAATATTGAATGTAAACATGATTTTCAACGGGCCTCAGATTTGGACAGACGCACTCACAATTATATGTTAACAGTTGCCATTGCTATTGCAGTCAAATTGGTGCTAACAAGCATGTGAGTGACAGGACGAGCCGAGAAGCCTATAAATACTCTCTCCTATCCCAGCCCTTTCCTCTAGTCGTTTGAACTAGACAGTACCAATCACTATTAGCGGACCCCTGATGAGTTCTTCCCCTACTAATCAACCCCCAATTCTTCCACTGTGCTGACACAGAGCACCTCGTTGACTCGTGTGAGTCAGTCAGTGCCTAACACCGACGCGCGATGCTACGCTCCTTCACATCACCCACCGTCCGGTTATCGTCTCGCGTTGTCCTGTTTGAGCTGGATAAAGCCGACAAGAAATTCGGGCTCGTTGACAAAAATCGCGCTTATTAGAGTTGTCACGGCTCCACAGTCGAGCTGACCCCTTCACTGTCGAGGCCAGCCCTCGTATTCAACGGTACAAAACGGGACTAGCCATGTCACAGGTATATGCTCCCTTCCTTTGCCTTGCCTGATACTAACCTCGAAGACTCTTTGTACTGCCTAGAATTGGGTGCAAATCCTGAATACAGAAGTGCACTATGTGTGAAACTCCCAATTCCCGATGGCCACCATAACATGTCAGTCATAAACCACCCCTCCAAGTTACTAGCTAATGACTGGCAGCAACTCATGAGTTGTTCCTCAGAATGACATCCCAAACATTCGAGCGCCACCATGAATGATCGTATCGCAAAGCTGAAGCCTACACACAATTTTCTGGCTGGTGGGGCTGCTAGTATCGATGACCATCGGGCCACCCGTTCAACCACCTGTGAAACCCTGCGACTGGTAAGATGTTCTACAAGAACGGGACCAGGGATAGAGCTCGCCACGGTTTGTGAACTGTTGGAAGCCACTCAAAGCCCCGGGATCTGAAAGCACGCTGCAGTCTGCTTACCGACCGTGAATACGGAAACGGGAAAGAAATGCGGTCGTCTTCGAATCAGAGACGAGGCTGTTGATACAATTCGTTGTCTACCGAGTTGGCATCAACAGCGGACGTACGGCGGCCCGATGGCGGATCCGCCTGTGAGTTCCTGAGCCCTCCCACACACACCAACGCAACGACAAACCCTTTTGAATGAAGAACTTCGAACCGTCAATCGTTTCTCGCATTGTTCACAAAAGGAGGATCCCGCGCCGTGGAGACAAATCATCACGTCCCCATGTTTGAATTTCCACCGCCCGAGACAATAGTGTGCGGATCACCACTAAGGAGCTGCGACAGCTCATCGACAACACCACCCGAGCGTCGTCATATAATCCACGAAATCAGACTTGGGTTCAAACGCGAACAACACGCCCACAGAACCATCGACGACGAGCTGAAGAGGAAGTGTGAGCGCATCTGAAGCAGATCGACAGACTAGCCTCAGCTCCCCCATCGCGATCGCCGACCACTATGGTAGCCAACTCTGCGACCCCCATCCTACGGTGAGCCACCAGCGATCTGACAAAGACCGCGACCGTGTCCGAATTAACTCCCAATGTTCCTCCGTCGATCTCCCGAATAGTGAAGACAAGGATGAGAATGCCTTCAGCCGGTACCTCCCTTACTCCTTGCTACAGCACATCCGAACGGCGTCGTCGAACGCGATCGCTGCGCAGGGTGTTCAGGTGGCCTCCATTGACACCAAATGGAGGCACCACGAAGACCGAGTATGGCACCCGGTTCGAAGACTCGGGGTCGGCTGAGCCCGCATCAACACGAGTGGTTACACGAATTGGGTAATAACACGAAACCGGCCAAACCATAGTCGGAATCGTCGTTCACCGTACCCCAACAGTAGACATTGATCGGGAAGGCGTTCAGACGCAATCCATCGAGAAGATCGTCGACGAGAACGAGCTACCAGAACGAAACTTCCATGGCATGGTTGAAAAGAGGGCTAAACCGCTTAGAATTCGGGTCGTTGGGCACCCGGTTTGACTCGGTCAAGGCAACAGAATGAGTCCTGACAACAGCCTCCTGTAGGCCAGGGGTACATCGGAAGTGTTCAACACTATTATCGAACGGAAGAGGTCCATCCGTTGGTTCGCGATTCGGGCCCTGGCCTGGTGATGCAAGGAAACCCCGTGACGTTGACACTACGCCGGTCAACAAGAACATCAATGCTGCCCACCAAGGGTGAGAGCGCGATGAGATGCATCGACAAGCACCCGACAATACTTCGTCCACCAACTCGACCCTCCTGAAATGTGAGAACCGAGCGTACGAATGCTACAGTTGCACATGACGAAATCGAGGGTGGGAATGGAGGCCCTCATTGATCACTGGAATCAGAACCTGGATGTGCTCGCTCATCCACGAACCACCGATCCCCGCACGCCGAAGGCATGTCCACCGCAGTGCGTGACAGGTGTCATAACAGACTGTGCAAAGCGGCTCGGTCAGATCCATGTCAACAGAGGGATCTGGACATTGTCCCACGGACCGATAGTCGAGATCTGTGCGGGCGACTCCCAGATCCTTCTGGTTGAGTCTACCTTCTGCCAGTGTCACTTCACGCCTCGGACAAAGCGCGGCAGACTGGCGTGGCTGCCCTTTGGGACACCATTCAACCTCACTTGCTCAGTTAGATCATTTCTTAACACCCAGAACATGTCAGTCATTAATCAACTTTTTCAATCTCCTAGCTAATGACTAGCAGTGTGGAATTAACCGGCAAAAGGATACCAACGTATGGAGCTGGTCATGTTTTGCGAGCTGTTCGCCTAGTTTTGC